GCCTTTTGTTTGAAGCCTTAAAGATATTCAATCTTTCATCCAATGCCTTGGCTTTGTAGAAAAACATACCTAATTTAACGTGGTAGAGGCCCCTGGACTCGAATTGCATCCATACCTCTCAAATTAAGCTCCAAAGTAGGCTTCAGAAACACGTTCCCAGACTTGGCCATTTACAGACAGTTTCGCAGTTTTGGCATAGCCTTTTGATCAGGTTCAAAAATGGTCTTTTAAACTTTCTATCGAGCTCCCAAGTACTTTAATGTGTAGAGGGACACTTCACCTTGACATGCATGTCACCGTAGCAAATTCCTTCTTTTTTACCACACTGTTGGTAATGAATCCGAAGTTGCTTGATTTGAAATATATAGGACATGATGCTTAGTTAGTTAGGCAATGTGTTGTGTACGGACTTCCCAAATTATTCTCAGATCACATACATGTCTAACAACAATTTAGTAATTTTCATGCAACAAATATTTTTTTTCGTGAAATAATTCAATAAATAAAAACGTATGAAAATAATATTACATGAAATATATGTTACTCATTAAGTTGATGAATGAGCGAGGGTATGAGTAGCATACATTTATTTTAGAAAGATAGAAGTTGTAAAGTGTCTTTTGGGTTGCATGAGAACACATATCGCTAACTGACTTATGCTTTTTTGCAATAGATAATTCAAAATGTGTTTTAAAACTTTTGTTTCCACCAATGTAAAAGAATTATTTGAACAAAATGATTGTAAAATCATATCGAAAAGTTGCTAGTAAAGTATTTTAACAGAAGTCATTATTTAATTGTGGTTCAACCATTTTATATTGCTAAATATCATCTATCGATTTAGCCTGTGATGTAAAGTTTATGGTCTAACTGCCGCTACGTACGATCATTCAATACAAACTTTAAATAAAAAACCACTAAAATATTAACATTATCAAATACCCCTTAAATCTCAGAAATTAAAGTTAAGGAAAAAATCTTCCAAATGATAATGTTGATTTAGGATTTTAAATTGAAATGGAAAAAATATGTCAAATATAATGTCATCTCTTAAAAGAAATCAAAACTCAACAAAATAGGGTCAAGAATATCCACTAATCAAAGCAGAAGGGCAATTATTTCACACCACCTCATTTTCCTCATTTTTTAAATGTGTCATCTCACTATCTCTTTGTCTTCCTCTTTGTTTTTCCATTTGTTCTTCCATCTCTTTCTCAGCTTTGTATCTCACCACTCTCCCCCTTTTTTCTTCCTCTTTCTTCCCACTGCCTCGAATCGAGAGAATCCTAGAAACATCTCAATTACTTCTCTAATTTTGCATTCAAAATGCTTCTTCTCCATTCACAGTCGATAGTGTGAATCAGAGCACCTGAAACATGGCAAACCGATGGTCGCTTATTCATCGACGGAGCAAAGTAGCATGATAGCCTGTGAATAAACTAATTATTTAAAGTGATAAAAACCACAACTCGTTAAACCAATAGAGTAAGTGTATAGTTAGTTCATCGCTTAAAGCCTTAAACCATTGTATTTATCTAAAAAATCAAAATGCATAATGAGATTCATCTTCACTTTACATGTATTTGTAGTACAAATGCATTACACATAAAAAATGGTTTTGAACCGACGCAATATCAAACTAAACCTTGTCTTATGATTATTGGGTCCATGTCAGATTAGCAAAACGTCTAAGGCTATTGGTTAACTGGGCTGAAAATTAATTCTAATTTAAGAATTATATATCACTTCCAAAATGTTCAATACTCCAATTCAATATGCAATATTCAATATTCAAACAAATGATATATGAGTTTCAACCCTTCCTCAATTTTTTAAAAAAAAATCTCCCTCCTCACACACATTTGCAAAGAAAGTGTCTTCATGGTATGCTCTAAATGTATCGTGCTAACTCGATCATGTTCCTAGGTATAGTTATATGCATTATAATAATTAAGTTTCTACCTAATTACAACACCAAGATAAAAACCGTCATAAATGCACCTAGTATTCGATTTTGACTACCTAATGAAATACTACATTTGAATAAACTACAACTTAGGTCACAAATAATAATTATACTTCTAAATCATGCATAAAATATTTCAAACATCACAAAGATTAAGATTAAATAAATTATTATAAAGAGTAAAAATTGTATAATGAGGTTAATTATTAAATCATTTATATGTTAATTCCCTATAAATTGATCAACACATTTGATCCAAAACTGACGAAATGAACATCAAATTAAACTCAATATCGTCTCATTATTGCCGGGTCCATTCATGCCCGATTAGCAAGAGTTTAACGTTTAGCAGTTAACTATACTAAAATTTTGGAGAACCAGTCACCTATAAATTGTACAAAATATTATTGTTTCGTATTAGTTCTAAAAATTTATATTAATTTAAAGAATTCTACATCACTTTTGCATATTCAATATTGCAGTTCAATATGCAATATAAGCAATGAAATTTGTGTTTGCAATTTTATGATTACCCGTCATTTTATAGGTTATAAAAATTATACGCGTATAAAAATGGGTTTTGAAGTTCCTACTCCTTAATTATGCCGCGAAAGGCAATTGATTCTTTCTTGTCTAGAGTTTGATTCTTCTGATTCGGCTTACAAGTTCTCAATGCCTATGCCAAGAAACAAGGTTTCGGCATTAGATTGAGCAATTCGTGGTTTAAGGTCCAAGGGAAAGGAAAGGTATAAAGCCAAAGTCAGTTGCAAAGAGTAGCTTTTAGCATAAGAGGCTCAATGACAAATTGATAAGGGCTGAAGGATTACAGGATGTCGTGGGATTGTGTTTGTTTTGGGAAGTTGGGCTTGAATGATGGGTTTGAGTGGAATGAAACAAAGGTGTTCGAAGGAATGTTTATAAGGGGAAATAAGGATTCAGGGAGGAGTCGATTTCTTGATGTTGAAGTCGTGTGGGGAAGACGATGGAGATCAGTTTTTTTGGGGAGGGGGGGGGGTGTTTAACGTAAGTTGCTATGCAGCAGCGGAGCAATTCACCAGCTTTTTATCCATTTCATCTGGACTTTGGATATTGCTTTGAAAGTTGGAAGAACAGCGGTCGCGGATCGGGTACTGGAAGTCGCAGGAGGAGCAGATGGAGCATTCGGGGATCTTCGGGAGGGACAGAGGAGGGTCGGCGACAATGTTGAAGCCGATGAAAGACATCCAAAAAACTGTACGGGATGCCGAAGCTGAAAAGCACCCGGAAATCGAAATCGTTCGAGGTGACTCCGGTGGAAATGGATGCAGTATTGTCAACAGTGGCGTAGCCAGGATTTCATCTAAGGTGGGTCCACTTAGAAGAAAAATACACCTGATAAAATAATTTTTGTTAACTTTGCGAATCATTCATGACATAATCTTATATTGGAAAATTTTGGTTAATTAAAATAGATTAGCAGTCGAAAGTATCAAGAATATTACTCTATATACCAAACAATTATTAATGATTTAGTTAGTCGTTCTATTTTGTATGATGTTCTTTCTCAAAAATCATTAGTATCTATAACTCAAGTTGTCAAAAGATATTTAATAATAAAGCTTACACCAAACAATAATTCATGATTTAGTTAGTCATTCGCTTACAACTGATGTTATTTGTCAAGAATCTTTTTGAATCAATAAATTGAGTTGTTGGGAGAAGTTCAATAATATATATTATACTATTTACTAGCATGCTCCCTCATATAAGAAAGTCAACTTATAGAAAAATGAAGTTTGCACAAATCTGTATATCGTGTACTTAACAAATGAGGTCACCAAGATTCGAATATAAAATATTTCGATCAACTATTCTCAATTAAATACGCTCTAATTTTCGATATAAATTAACTATTGTACCTAATTGAACAATTTTCCTTCCGAGGACCCACCCTCTTATACTACTCTCCCTCCGCCACTGATTGTCAACGGCAGCAGAGACGGGTAATGAGCGGTGATTAATGAAGAAAGGTCAGGGGGAAGATAAAAAAAATGAATAGTTAAAAATGAGGTGGAATTTTTTTAAAAAAATTATTTATTTTATTATTTTCTAATTGTCATGTTAGTTGATCGACACATAAGTAAAAGTTAACGGAGTTGGACGAAGAGTAACCAAATTTTAAATATTTAACCAAGTTTAGTGACAAAAAATGAAATTAAATATTTTTAGTGATCAAACATAAACGGTTTTAGTATTCACCAACCTTGTAATTAACCGATTTTTCTAAGATGACACAACTTTTGAGACAATTGAGTTAAATTAACTTAACTCATTTCAGTAATCCACCATTCAAACCACCCTTCAAATCGATCCTGCAAACATCACTTCAAAGTTAACATAAAACTATTTTAAAATCTATTCACCAGTTAACCAAAATCAACAATCACCCATGCATCTAAAAAACCCCATATCATTTGTGACCAAACAAATTTACTTCCATCTAATTTGCCACCATAAATCCAACCATATATGTTATACAAAAGTGTCAGTATTTACACAATGCAAGCTTTCAGCTTAGCCTCATCCTGGAATCCAAACCACAAGCAAAGCATACACACCAAGAATAATTTCCACCGTACTACTACAAACCAAAAGTGGCAAATTCAACAAATTAATGGTCACCTGTGAACAGTAGCTCAGCAACTCCTCTATAACTATTTATATGTAGGAGCTATTGCACTTTTCTGTCTAATGACGAAAATAGTAATTCATAACTATTTATAAATTTATGAGAATCACAACTATTTATATATTTATTTAACTTCAAACCTCGCAAGCAACATTAGTTTGGATAACTTCAATTCTACCAATGTGCTATAATTATAAAAGGAAACAATGGAAGATGTATTTACATTTCAAAGCACTTCCAGCAATGAATGAATCAACCATCACCTTACATGCAACTATTCCTGGTCCTGGGGCTACTGGAAAGTTCATTGCTGCTTAAGCAAGTAACAACTAGAGGAACTAACTAACCATATTCGGCTCCAGCCAATCAATGCTTGACAGATTCCTCATCTTCATCTTCAATATCCCAGCTCAGATCCTCCTCTTCATCGGCAGAACCCAACCGCTTCCTCAAATCAACTCGACTTGTGGCTGCTGCATTCCCGGCCCCTGCAGCCTTCTCATCATTGCTTCCAATATCTTCAATCTCATCCCAACCCAAATCCTCAACCTCCGGTACAAAAGACTGCTGGCTCGACACAACTGAAACATCACTGTCCTTGCAGGACTCTCCACCACCGCCATTATTGCCATCCGCCTTCTCCACCTTCGTATCGCTGTATTGATCGTCCCCGAATCCACCCCCAAACTTAGTCCCTTCACTAACATCTTCATTCCCACCTTTCTGAAAGTTCTCTGTTTGCTCTACATCAGTACCACCTCTATCATTCAGCTGAGACTGAGAGCCCTTTCTTTGATCATCAATATCAGCAGCAGTATCATTATCTTCTACATCATCGTCGAAATCCCAACTTAAATCCTCTTCTTCCACAGATATCACCCGCTTAACAATCTTAGCTCTAGCCTCCTCTGCTTCCTTCAGCTTTTGCGCTCTGTAGAAATACCTGCTCCAGAACGTCTCAATGTTCACCTTACTAGGCATAACCTCATCATAAATCTCCCTAACAACTTCATTCTCAGTCAGAAGTTTCTCAATCTCGTCCCTTTTCTCCTCCACAACGGAGCTCCGCAACCCTAATCTCCAACCATCATACCCCTCCTTATCCTCCGGTTCTCTACAGTAGGTATTCAAGTTGCTCTGCAGAGCAAGCAATTGTGCATCGTATCTACTATAGGGTTTGAGCGGCAGAGACGATCCCCGCCCCCCGCCGCCGTTATTAGAGGAATCGGAATCATGATCGTTATAATCAGGGGAAGAAGCGTTAGAGAGATCTCTACCGTGGGAGATGATCTGGGCCGTGGATTTCCACACGGTTGCGCCGATGTCGTCGATCGCCTGGCCGACGGTCTCGAGCGATTCCTGAGCGGCGGATGCGCTAGCTTCCAGGGAAGCCGGGAGGTCCTTGACGGCGCGAGAGGCGACGTCTCGGATCGCGGCGGTCTCTTTCTTCAAGCCCGATCCGAGCTCCTCCAGGTCGCGCCGGTAGGTCTCGATGACGGACTCGGATTTGGTGGCTAGCTTTCGGATCATGAGGCCGAAGGTCCATGGATCGAGATTGGCGGTGGTGGTGGTTGGGGGCGGCGGATTGGATTCCGGATCCGAGTTGGAATCGGAAGCTGCAGTTTCAGGCTCGGAAGCCGACGTTGGGGAGGCCGGCGGCGTTAGGTCGTCGGAGAAGACGGTTCGGAAGAAATTCATCGCGTGAATTTGGGACGAGGGGGAAAGGGAAAGAGAAGATATTTACAAAATGGTCAGCTAGCTTTTATCTTTCACAAATTGTTTGGCAACAAGGGTGCAAATTGCAGGAGGGTGCAAGTTGAGGTGCAAATTGCAGGAGGGTGCAAATTGTTGGGGTGCAAATGGAGGGGTAAATTGTTGTTTGGATGAAAAAGTAAGGGGGTGCAAAATGATGTAAAAAAGAGTTTTAGATTATTATATATAAAGAGTAAATATAATAATATGAATGTTATATTATACATAGGTAATAAAATACGGTACGCGAAAGTTGTGTATAAAATACGTACGGATATTTTACTTCGTCTCTAACCGAATGTTACGTTTAATAGTCATAAATATATATAAAAGAAAGAAAGATACGGAACACCATAACAGAGTCTCACTCAAAGAATCAGCTTTCATTTTGAAACCCCCTGTTTCTTTCACATACCAGAGGTTGCACGCCATTGTCATTGGCCTTTACTTCTCCCTCTACCCTCTCTCCCTTTCTTCCCAATTGACAACCATAAAAGCCTCTCTTTCCCAAGCCTGACTTTCCATTGCCCAATTAATCCCCAGAGAAAGAAACCAAAGCAGATAAAAGATGGAAACTGATGGAAATTAAGGTTGCCCCTGCCCCTTCATCTTCTCCCTCCATCCCCAAACGTTAACCTAACAATGAGAACCCATCTAGTGCTAACCTAATGCATTGGATAAAGCTTAAAAAATAAACGGAAGGCAAATAATCATGTCATCTACTAATTATACTAGAGGGAAATGTTATAGCTAAACAAATTATATACGGACACAGTGCAAATATTGGAAGGAACTCAAAGAGGGTTTTATAAGCATTCATCGGACCAAAAAAAAGGAAGAAATAGCGATTGGGGAAGTGATATGATGCGTGATAGCGGAATCTCAGGTATCGTGGAAGTCGAACTCTTCTACGAAACTAATGAAACACGATAAAGATAACTAAATTACTCTAATCTACTTTACTCTTATTCATTGCTTAACGAAAACCAAAGAACAATGTACATATTTATAGGACTACTCTCATAACCCTTTCCCTCTCCAACAAGGTAATCTAAACCTAACCCAACAAGTAAACTATAACTTCCTCAACAAGACACAATAAACTAATACGAATATCTCAAATAACCATAATAATCTAGCAATTAACTAATAATAAGTCCCTAATTACTAAGCCCATACTAGGCCTAAGGCCCATCGAATGCTGTTACGCATCATGATAATCATGGACAAAGTTGGGGTTTTATCATATTCACCTTCAAAAAGAGCAGGGACAAGTCCAACAAAGTTTGAATGAAGAACCCTTGTCGAGCAGGCCAACGATCCGAAAAACAGAACACCACAACAAGAATAGTAGATCGACCCAACTCCTGTATAACACAGCAATCGGAGATGAGGATGACAGGACTCCGCCGGCCGATTGAAGCCGACGAGTCGGAGTGGGCGGAATCAGAATTTCTATCTTCTAAATCTAGGTTTATGATTTGTTTGGGTGGGATGGGTAGGTCTTTCGCAGTGAATGGCGGAAGAGAGAGGGAAGAGAACAAAGTAAAAGGGAAAAGAAGAACCGTAGAAAAAAAAAGTGGGGAGGAGAAAAAAAAAATATAAAAGCAAATAATTTTTTGCTTCCCTTCCTTCCGCCCCAAATTGGGGGTTAAGTAAAACAGTATAATTATCCCTTTAATGCACCCCTACCTACTGTTGATAATTATCCAAACAGGTACATATTTTTTGAGATTCCCATTTACCCTCAAAAACTTGCACTCCCTCCATTTACCCCTCAAAACAAAATGGTTACATCCAAAAAAAATTTCCAAAAGGAATGATAAGTTTTTTTTGGTGCGAATGATAAGTTGCTTAGGTTGAATTTCATGTATTTCTTTTCTTATTTTGACAAGATGAAGTTGCATTGGATGCTGCCATCCGATGATAAGCCGTCTTTATTGTTTGATTCATTTGACACTAGCTTATAACCCGGCTCATTGGCCGGAATATTCATATTTCATTATTTATATATTATATTACGTTTAAGCTAATTAACCGGTTTAATTTTATTGACATTCCTTATCGAGATGATACATAAAAAAAGAATATAAAAGTATAACATTCGGAAAAATACCATCATCATTTAAGAATATAAAATGTATCATTAATTCCATTTTCATAATGATATTTAAGCCCTCATTAAAATGCTATTGGTTAGTTGATTGTCACGAAAGAGGTGATAAAGCTAAGTGAATTCCACACGACCCGTAGATAGTTTGAAACTAAATCTTAAACCTCACAATCCTATATAAGGGTTTAATGCGCTCTTTTTATGAATAATATGTCACTAATCAAAAAGAAATGGAGAGTTGTTGATTCAAGTCAACTATATACTAACAACTTAGCTAAGAGTGGACCATCAAAATTTGAGAGCAAACAACAAAATTAGGGTTATCTCCAACATACTAATAATACACTCATTGTCTATCAGTTCTAGTAGGTTGAATAAAGAATCGACCTACTTGAATAAATCAATCAATGATTCCTTGTTTTAAGATAGAAATAGGTTGTGATAGATGTAAAAACCATAAATATAAAGATCCAATAGTCACCATTCTTCGTTTTACAACCAAATTTTTATCTCAAGAGACATATGTTTCAACCAAAAATTCAATTTCTAATCCTCCTTCTGCAACTCCATTATTTATTAAACTCTTTTACTTGCTCAACTTAAATCCCCAAAAATAAAACCGGCGTGCCAAGAGATACCAGATGATTGATTTTCAAAGGCGACCTTGTACTGGGAAGTGAAAGGGGCGCAAATTATTGTACGATGGAGGGAATTTTCGAGGAAGTTAGAAAGAGATAAGAACAAAGATAAAACCACAAAATTTAAATTGAAAAATGCAAGGACACAACACGTAGTGACAAAATTAGTTTTTTTTTTCCATGTTAGCCACTTACCAATTTACCTTTTGCAAAAAGGAGAGAGAAAGAATTTTAAAATTGAGAAAGTACATGAAACTCTACTATGAAAATTGAAATATCAAACACCATAAACATACATATGATATACTTATTTGGCTTGCTAATCATGATGGAAAGTCCTGCGATTTTCAAAGAGTTGAACTTTGTGTATATTTTGTATTAAAAAAAGACAGGCTAAATTACACGTTTGGTCACTCAAATTATACAAATCTTTCACGTTTGCCACCCGAATTACCTTCCTCTACAGCGGTGATGCAATCACCGTTTTTGTCTAACGCGGTGATGCAATCACCGTTTTCGTCTAACGCGGTGATTCAATCACCGCCTTGGTCAGACGCGGTGAAGGCCCAAACATGCGTAGATTGGGAATTTTTTTCATAACATGTGTATTTTGAGAATTTTTTTTAAAAACATGTGTACAGTGGGAAATTTTCCTATTTTGTGTACATAATTTATCATTTTAATAAAATTTAATAAATGACAAAAATGGGCAAATCCAAATGCTCATCATCCTCACCCTCACCATCCACTCCCTCTCCTCCTCCTCCGTAGACGTCGACAACTTAGTCCCTGCCGCCGCCAGCAAGAGGAGGGGGAACTACTACGCCTTCAAGCGCGGGCCTTCCGCTCGGCCGCTGTTCAATTGGGCCGATCACCCTTCCTTAATCACCGACGCCGTCGAGAACGGATGGACCCGATTTGGCTTCGTCGCCGCACAACCGACGGCCGTTTCTGGCTCCGTCAGAAACTCGATGCTCCTAGGCCTCTGCGCCGCCTCGGGAGATGATTATCATTACCCGCCGCCGGAGATGAGCTGGGAGGTGAGCCAGGCGTCGGCGGATTTCATGCAGAGGACCCGCCTGAATCCCGGGTTGAAGTGGGTCGTCGACGGCAATCACGGCGGCTTTCGTGATCAGAACGGCTCAGCCGCTGCCGGCATTTCCGCAGGAAGCTTACTTCGAGGTCACAATTTCGTACTCCCGCGGCGGCGGCGGGGGAGGAGAGGAGCAGAGTCAGAGGAGCCGGTCGTCGTCGGCAGCGGGGAAGGGGGATGGTGGCGGGGAAGGGGAGAAGATTAAATTGATTCGGGAAATTCCGAATTCGAATTCAAATTCGGCGGCTTTGCTCCACGATCAGCAGTAGAGGTACATGCTGTGTGTATCTCTTTTCCTTCCTCCCCCTAACAATGAAATGGAAAGAGTTTTAATTTGTACTTTGTGGTGTTGTGTTGTTTGGTCACCACAGTTAATACAGTTTTGGTTGATGTAGTTGGATGGTGGAGGAGTTGCCAGTGGAGGCCTCCGTGAACTAATACCATGCATAACAAGGACAGCAGTAGCTGTTGGGGTAGATGGAATTTTCATGGAGGTACCCTTAAAATTTAACTAACCTAGACTCTCATGTTGGACTATACTTTGCAAATCTACCCCTTTAAGGTAGAGGCTTGACAAATTTCATTCTGAGCTCTGTACTATAAGCTTCTGAGAGCTTTCTTATCGTCTACTAGGTGCATGATGATCCAAGGAATGCACCAGTGGATGGTCCAACGCAGTGGGTATGCACACTATCGGATCTTTTTTCTTTGTGAAATGAGGAATTAACTTTCTGGTAGTTGGTTTCCTAACAGAATATGATTTGTTGATGATTGTAGCCGCTACGACACTTGGAGGAACTGCTGGAAGAGCTGGTGGCGATAGCTGTGAGTTCCCCTGGTTTCTTCTCTGCGCTTGTTGATTGCCATTTTGCCTCCCATCATCCTTTACCATGAGGTTTATATTAATATCATACTGTTCTTTTGTTTCTTGTCTACTTGAAGAGGGCAAGTAAAGGGAAGAGACGTATGGAGATTGATCTGATGCCATTTCGCGATTAGAGAGCAGCTTGGTCTACTCCAGTTTTCCACTTACAGCTGTGATCCTTCTTGAGAGCAATCGACTTGGTTTGGACTCTGATTGATTTCATCCTCAGTCTATTGTATTATCATCACAAGCAACTTCACAACAACACCTTGTTTCTTTAGTAGATCCCCAACAATGCCAACTGATTGTGGCTGTGGGGTTGAGTTTATTGAAAGGATCTGATCAATTTTTGTTGCATCTTCTCAATCAAACATGAATGTCGGAAATTAGGAGCGAGTTGCTATCTAGGACTTTGTTAATACGATATTTTCTGAAATTAAAAGTCATCTATTTCATCCTTTGATCACTCTTTGATAATGTCAATGAGAAAAGTTACGTGTTGTGTTCCATGCTACGGAACACTGACTATTATTCTTTTACACACATCTTTCATCTCGATCTCTCCCACCAAAACTACCTAGAAAGCAACGACCCAAATCCCAACTCAAACTTGGATTTGCCCATTTTTATAATTTATTAAATTATTAATATTATAAATTATATAGACAAAATAAGTGCAATGATGAGGTGGAAAGAATTTTTTTTTATTTTTTTTAATTTCCACGTCATCTAGTTAACGATCAAACTTTATAGTTGACTGCCACGTAGGACAAACTTAACGGAGTGTAACGGTCGGTGACCAACCGTGAAACGATTCGTAAAGTTAGTGGCGAATAAGAAAGAAAAGTAATTCGGGTGGCAAACGTGAAAGATTTGTATAATTTGAGTGACCAAACGTGTAATTTAGCCAAAAAAGACAACAAATTTGTTCAGTGTAAATGGTTGTGATTGTTGTCTTTGTTTGAAGAGACCCGGATTCAAATTCTGATGTTGATATTTTTTATGTGAGATAAATAATTAATTGTAAAGACAAAAATTTCTTTCTTACTTTCACTCTCGTTGCAGGAAATTTGAAATGGAGAAAAATACACAAAAGTGTACTATATATTATTAGGGGATGAGCAACCAAGTGTTCCGAAGAATGAGTGCATCTTATCCGACTAAGAATGATAATGGCAACATTCATCGAACGAGGAATCGATGGTAGCTCTTTTCGATGGAGCACCCATACTCGTCAACAGGTATGGGAGCTTTTGAATAATGGGTATCGGTAGGACTGGCTATTTGGTCCGGACTTTTTAGTTTTATTCAAAACTGGATCAACAAACAATCCAATCACATTTTCGGGCTTAGATTTGAGGTAAAAACCGTTCGAGATCGAACCAAAAATCGAATAAAGATCGGATAAGAAAGCCCAACACCCAAAATGTAACCAACTTCTCACCCTTTTAGACCTTAGGCCACTCAAATCCCCACAAGCTCAATCTAAAATCAAGACCGAATTGAGACCGGACCGGTTCAAGATCAAATAGGATTAAGACCGAACTGTATCCAATCCAATCTTTGATCCTTATATTCTCGAAAATACCGGACCAAGACCGGATCAGTTCGGACCAATTTAACTGAACTAGACCGTATAGCCACACCGTATAGCCACCTCTAGGTATCGGTGTTTTGGATCAAGTTATCTCTCGTTGCTAGAGCCTCCTTTAACGAATGTTCGAGGCATACAACTCGAGTAATTGAAAGTGTAATTTGCAAGACACGGCCTTAATCGACAGACGAATACAGCAGGGGATAATGCATAGATAGTTGATAGTTGTCACAACGTTTAGATTGAAAAGGTAAAGATAGTAGTTGCTTTTAATACTGCAGACATGCTTACAAACATAGGGCGGGAGGCAGTAAAAGAATCAAGATGGCATTTTCTTTTCTCCTTCTATACTTAAAAAGCTATTTACTTGGCAAAGGGAAGAAAGAGTGCAGAATTGCAGATGGGCATGGCTCTCTCCAAAACCTCAAACACAGAAACAACTCTCTTTTGTCGAACAAAACACTGAAAGTTTCAGGGAATCTTCATGTAGTAATGATAATAATACGAAATCCAGGGCAATGACCGCGGAAACAAATAAGCAGCCCTATCCGTTAAGAAGATTAGGCACGCGAGACAGTCTTACGATTTCCTTGATGATCATTTCCTTTTCCTCTTCGAATTGCTCGTCCTCTGAACCTGTTGCAGTACCCCCAAGAGATTTTTTTACTAAACTCGACCAAGAAGGGACGAAACGGGATTTGCAGAGATTTAAGCAGGATTTTACCTTTCCCAACTGAGAGGTCTATGAGCAATTCCACCAGTTTTTCATGATTTCTGGCCAAGATCATTTTCACTTCTTGTGGCTTGTTTGGGTTAGCAACAAAGACCTACTTATAACACAGCAAGAGGAATTAGGAATCATACTACTTTGGATGGAGGTTAAGAATCGGGATTGTGAAAACGGGGGAGTTGTAAATTATGGGGAAAAGAGAAGAGAATCTGTACCTTGAAAATGTGAAAAGCATAGATCTGTATGGTTTTACTCGAGTCCTGTCCAGACATTACATAATAGAAACAGATTAAAAAAGCACTTAAAGAAAGAAAAAAGCTAGACTGGCCTAATATATATACCGACATAACCCAGTTTATGTAGGTGCATTCGACATAAACTTCCAACACTCTAAGCTAGTCAGCACAAACATTATCACATCACTAGCTGCCAAGAGTCTCCACCAGGTAGGATTTGCAGAGCAAGGAGTGAGAAACAAAACATAACCTCTCAAGGATGGAAAGCTTGCCTCACTTATAGAAGTTTAAGAAAGGAGGGAAAACGGAGTCCAGGCTTACTCGGAATAACACTCATTGCGCAAATCTACTAATATCCAGTAAAAGTAGATCAATCAAACTCTCCACACCCAAAGGATATGCAAGCACAGCACTAGAATCACAAGTGGTTTCTCAAGCTACTAAGACATCACAGTGAAATGTTCCCTTGAAAGGGTACCGTTTCTGTATGCTACTTGGAAGATAAGATGTATGGTGCATGGGGTCCCATCATCTGCGGAGCACGTATTGCTCAGACAAGGACAAGTAATTACAAACAAAATGATGGAAACCATACCAAGAGAACCGAAGCCGAGATGTCAAAACCAAAAGTCGAGCCAAAACCCTACTCATTACACAAAGCCAGTTCCTTGGACCCAATCGATTAAGGTAATCAAGAGAGATTGAGATTAAAGCATCTCATAGTTTTCCTGAATGGTCTTCTGACAAGTTGGACTCTAGTTTCCTTGAGTTGAGATTAAAGTACGACCGTTTCCTTGAACGGCCTGCACTTCTATTTCTATCCAGGCTCTAATGAGCTTGCGAAATTTGACTTATTAAAGGATCGGGTGGTTTCAGTTTCTAACATAATCTCTGAATAACTGAGCACTAACCTAAGACATTCAATTGACTTTCTAATATGGAGGAGAAATAGACCTGGAATCATATTCTAGAAAGGACTAGCATGCAATACCTTAAGCAATGTCATCATCACTTTCAAGTAGTGAACTTCCAGAATAAAGCGCTTCATTATGCTGGAATTTGGAGGCTCAAAAAGGAACTCAGAGAGAAGCTAAATCCACAAAAGAGAAACAATTAGCTTAAACGCAAAACAAAATTAGCCACGTATATGTTTACTACTAAGTTTGGAGACTAACCTTCACTGATTGCCTTCTTGTCACATAATTAGGGGATGTGAGAAGTTTATCATACAGATCAAAGAACTGTAACAACAGAAACAAAAACAAATTTACCTTTCTTAGACAGGCAATGAAAAAGTACAAGTGTTACTTTTAAGAGAGATGAATTTTCGTCGCATTTTTATATGGCAAACGAAGATGCAAGACGTCAGCAAAAATGCCAAAAAACAATATTAACATGGTGGCACCAGGTGGGTATACAAGCAGTAGCATTTGCTTATGTTTGTCTAGGTAAATATCATGCATTTGAACATGCTCAAACATGTATATGTATCCATTCTCCCAGGTACAGTAGTATGCTGAGTACCACATTAGCAAGGAAGTGTCCCTAAGTCACAAAGGTCTATCCAACATAAGCATACAAATCATCTTTTACTCTATGTTTGTTTTGGGCGGCACCCCACGAACGGCACTCGAAAAGGAGTGCGCTTCCCTTGTGTCCCCGCTTTTATGGAGGCTGTACCGCATTCAGCTTTTAGTCCATTTGGACGTGAATGGTATGGTCAAAAGAATAATTAATAAAATTTAAGGCTGGTTGGGATTAATGTTGCAATGTTTTATATGATCTGCGCTAGGACTGGATTTCGGTCGCTTTTTGCCTAACCGATAATCAAAATATTGATTTTCGGTTAGCCAACTTACATGGAAATAACCATCGACCGACAGTCCTCTTCGATTAGCAACCAAATCAACCGACCGATTTTCGGTTTTTGTCACGGTTAGTCGTGTAATTGAGAAAACGATGTGTGATGGCCTACATCATGATCAGGTCAAGAATCTCTTGTAAAAGGAAACGATAATCAGATCAAAAGACTGAGGAAATATACCTCAGAATAGTGCGCAGTAAGATATTCTGCAACTATGGTATCATGTTTGCTTAACAAATCCTGATAAGCCATTGAAACAAATGTCGAGTGGGTATAACTGAAACTCAGAAAATGAACAGGTGAATGGACAAAATACATTTGGAAACTTTGGACTGACCTTGAAAGTAGAGAAGGCATCAGAAGCAACGTCAAAGTTAGGCAACTCCACAAACTTGAAGAACAACTCAAAGCAGGCTGAATCTAATATGTATCTGAAAGACCACTACAAAAGTTTGACAGTGTGAAAACATGAAACTTGACTGCAACGAAAAGCAAAGATAGAGCAACAGGCTTTGTTTTTCAAGTAACATCCAGATGTTACAATTATATCTGTCCGGTACAATATGTGTTCTGCTGCTACGCATGCAAGGATATTGACAAGCAGTAACTTACGTACAACCAGTGGGGGAGCCAGAAAATCAAATTAGGTGTGTCCTTTTATACGCATATAAAAAAATTTTAAAACATATATTTCTAAAAGTTAATAATGCAGTAATTCAATAAT